TTTTTTTTTTTTTTTTTTTCTTTTGCGGGGACAGTTTCTCTGTACCTTCAGGCCCTGGAGTCCTGGAGCTCTCTCTGTAGACCAGGCTGGCCTTGAACTCGCAGAGATCCACCTGTCTCTGCCTTCCGAATGCTGGGTTTAAAGGCATGGCCAGAGCTGTTAGTCTTAAAATGAGCAGTAACCTTGCCAAATATGTACATATATATTTATATATTTTAAAAATAAACATTTTTAAAATGTTCAGAGGGCAACACTTACCTTGCTTCTCTCAGTTAATCTGGAGTGGTGACTCAGGACTTCACAGTGCAGTGAGTGGGAAGTTGGAAACTGAGGACTTGAGCAGCTGAGGAGAATTATTCTGTCAGGACAGTGGCTCCATGTGGACTGTTACTCATTGTGGTGCACGTTTCGAGTGTTCTAATTATTTTATAACCTTTGATGTTAAGTAATATTTTGAAATATGGTTTTGAAACTAGCAGAAATTGGAGTGTTGAGAAGCATACAGTATTATATCACCACAGTGTGCTGTGGACCTGCCTGCAGCCTCAGCAGCTGTGAGCCCCTTCCAGGAAGGAAGGGGAATATATCCAGACATTTAAGGTTATGCTAATTATCGTCAAATGTCTGTTGTGATACTCATAGGAAGTTGGAAGTGCATGTGTGCTTACCATCTCCCCTGCTGCTCTGAGGAGGCCGTGGCTAGAGCAGGTGTGAAGAGCGGCTCAGTGCCCGCTGCTTCCATGCCGTGGATGGAAGCCGACATCGGCGCATCCAGAGTTCAAAGAGATAGTTTTATAATGACTCTGGCCCTTCTATTTAATAGTTTGGTGTTGGCAAATTTTCATGTCCCAATACCAGAATGCCAAAGGAGGAAACAATCAAGGGAAAAATTTTAGGCCATTTCTTAATGTTTAAGATTTGTCATTTTAAACCATAATTTTTCTTAGAACATCTTTGAAATTTCTAATCGCTTTGGTCATTTAAGAATGAGAGCTGTGATGTTTTGATTTATAAAGGCAAACTTAATGCAAAGTGGGTAACACTAAATCCATAGCAAAGTTTTTTATTAAATTTTATAAATTTTTTAATAGTTAATTATGTCCTAATTGTATTTTGGGGAATGAACAGCAGTAAATACCACAGACTTAAAAGTTTTCATCCTTTTTTTAAAATATATATACAAAAGTGTAACTACTTTTTTGCTGTTTATCAAAACTGTTTAGTTGACAAGGTGCCTATTGCCTATTCCATTGTTGAGATTTTTGTTAAATGTTTTATCAATAGATTTGCTAATTAAAAATTCTGAAACGGATCTTAACCAGGAGTTTTCTGAAGGTTCAGAACCACCCTTACTGTTCCCTGTCTGACCTCTCTCTTCTCCCTCCCTGCACACTTTACTCTTGCTGTCTGAGCAGGGCCAAGTATTTCACAGGTAAGGGGAAGAAAAACCCCACCTCTCCCACCACCAAAGAGCCATTTTTAAATGAATAGTGTAGCAAGCTCAGAGTTTTGAGTACTTCCATCTATAAATGATAACCTCATGCCAGCTCATGGCCAGATTAAGGGGACAGGAAACAGATTCACATGGTGGAAAATGTGGAACACACTTTCCGCTCACAGTTAGACACATGTTAGACCATCATTGTTCTAACAGTTTTATAAGGATCCTCAAATTCTGAAGTCGCCCAGTTTTTAAAATTATTGAAGGAGGTCCCTGAGTTTATCAACCTATTCATTTAAATCTCTTGCTCTTACTTTGTGCATAAATATTAAAATCTCCAAAAAATGAAATGTTATTATTCTTATTTTTACTCTTCATTAAATTGAATATGATATCATTAGCCCTGCTCCAACGGCAGATTTTTAAAATTCAGTCTAGGTGAAATATTTGCTATTTTACAGAAAGATTTGCTATCATAAACTCAAGCTGGCTCTTCTGTTTTCATGGGAATGACTGGGCTGCTGTCACCAGTTCTCCCAAGTCACAGTTCTGAAAGAAACATTGTTTGAGAGCATTCCTGTCACCTACACTCCGTGTGGTCTGGAGTTCCTGAGGTCTAGTTTATCCTCACGATGTGTACAGTTTGGGATGTGCACCACTACATACTGAGATGACACTAGTTTTACACGGGAGCAGCTTCTGTATGCAGCAGGCTGAAATATTTTGATGAACTGCTTACATTTGGATTTTATTTTTAAGTTGTATAATTTATTTTCTTGCAAAAATAAAAGTGTAATATAAATGCTTTCATCCAGAAAATCTTGTTGTTCTACTATACGAAGTTTTACAACAACAGTTAAGGTTTTTGGCAAGTTAGGAATAGTTTCATGTGCCTTTAATCCCAGTGTCCAGCGGCAGAGCAGGCGTAGCCCCGAGTGTGCTGTTTCAGTTGGGCAGTGATGCACCTGTGTCATCTAACTACTTGGGAGGTTGAGGTAGCTGGTGGTTCAAGGCTAGCATGGGCAGAACAGTGAGACTTTCTCAGTGAAGAATGCTTTGTTGTGTTTTGTGGTATGATAATAAATTGTTACCACTATAAGGACTAGGAATAAGAGATTTGGGTGGCTGAATATATGAGTTCCTAATGGCTAGAATCTAAACCTAGTACCTTCACTGAGATTTTGGGGAGTCAAGAAGTAGGGATGACTTGGAATTGAAGTTATGGAGAAGTAAGCTTAAATATTATGTTTCATTCACCAGCCCTTTCCAAAGCTTTGGCAAACTCCCAAGCAGTTTGAGCTACTGAGCATTCTAATCTAAGGAAACCCCCACCACCCAAGCAAATGGCTCCACAGTGAGCTAAATTGAAAACTATCTTCCTTGTTAAGAGAACACAATCATAGCGGCTGAATGGAGCTTAGAGGCAGGCAACATTGAAACAGCTGGATGGGCATAGGATAGATATGTCTATTATGAAAGAATTGGCAAGGAATAAATATAGGTCACTGTCACAAGTTTAAACAGATGGGCAGTCTGTAGTCGCACACTCCCCAAATCCCAGCCAGTACTTGAGAAGTGGATGAGCTCAGAGTTCTTAGTTATGGCTGGAATTTGAAACCTGCTGGAGCTGCATAATACTCTACCTCCAAACTAAAAGGTTAGCCAGGTGACTCAGTGGGCAAAGGCATTGGTTGTGAAGCCTGATGGCACATGTTCAGTTCCCACAACCTGTGTCGAAGTGGGACCATTGGATTCCACAAATGCACTTTATGATCACAGAGTAATAATACAGACTTTTAGTCGTTTTTGGAAAATGGAATCTATGGATAGAACACCTGTCCATTATTTATATATAAGATCATTTCTAGACCAGGCTGGCTTTGAACTCAGATCTGCCTGCCTCTTGAGTGCTGGGATTGAATGTGTGTGCCACCACATCTGGCTTAATTTTTTATTCACAAGATTTTGAGGGGCTTGTGGCTCATTTGCTGCTTTTCCATAAGTCTTGGGTCTGATTCCCAACACCCACCTGGTGGTTCACAACCTTCTGTAGCTGATTTCCAAGGCTCCCATGTCCTCTGCTGATCTTCATAGCCACAAGGCATTTGGTGAATAGATATACATGCAGGCAAAACACTCATACACACATGAGAAAAAAATTTTTTAAGTCACAGAGGTCTTAAATAAATAATGAACTTCAAGGTCTTAGAAAAATAGCATTATCAAAACCATCAGAAAAATAGAAAGGCAGAAATGAATGAAATTCCTATACAGGAGAGGCCAAGGCAGTGGTATCACTGCAAGTTCAAGACCAGCCTGGTCTGCAGTGAGTTCCAGGCCAACCAGGGATACACAGGAAAACCTTGTCGCAGTAAGACAGCCCCAAACAAAAAACAGCAAAAACTCTTAAGTGGAAACAAATAAGAACAGAGAACCAATACACTTTCTATGAAAAGAAAAATGAACAGGAATGACAACTTTCCAGCTGAATTGGTCAAAAAAGAAAATCTAAATGAAATTAGAGCTGAAAAAAATATTACAACAAGCACCAGTGTCAGGTTTACAAATTAGAGAATCTTGAAGAATTAGATAAATTTATAGACAACTATGACCTCCCAAAACTAAATGAAAAGAATGTAAGCATAACAATAAGATTGAAGTCATAGGGAAATGAAAGGAGAGAGCCCACTCCAGCAAGTTTTCCTCTGACCTCCGCATGTGTGCTGTGGGACATCCATCCCTCCTCTGACCATAACAACACACACCCCATAATCAACCAAACCAAACAAAACAAAACAAAAAAACAGGTTGCAGATGTAGCTTAGCACAATACTTGCCTAAATTATGTGACGACTATATATATTATATGAAGTCCTAGATTCAATACTCACCTGTATCCCCAGCAATCCAAAGGTGTAGGTGGGAGGAGTTCAAGGTCATCTTTGATCTTCATAATAGGTTTGAGACAATCCTGGACTACCTGAGACTCCGTTTAAAAAGCAAAATAAGTGGGGATTATGGCTCAGCAATTAGGAATATTTGATGCTCTTACAAAGGACATGGGTTCAGTTCCCAAAACACACCAGGCAGTTCCCAAGTGCCTGTAAGTTCATTTCCAGGGGTTTTGATGCCCTCTGCTGCCGTCCTCAGGCACCTGCACGCACACAAATGCAGCAATGTACGTCCTCACTTATGCCTTACCCTCAAAAGGTGCTTGCTTCACAAGAAAGAGAATCTGAGTTTAGAGCCTCAGCACCCATGTGAAAAGCCAGGTATGCTGGCCCTTGATTGTATTCCCAGTTCTGTTAATGGGTCAGGGGAGAAGGAGTGGAAGGCAGGCTTATTGGTCAGTCATTCTAGTAAGCTCCAGGTGCAATGATAGACCCTGTCTAAAAACAGAAAAAAGGCAGTGGTGTCACATCTTTAATCCCAGCACTCCAGACGTGACAAGGGATCGCTGAGTTCAAGGCCAGTCTGGTCTACAAGCAAGTTCCAGGGCAGGCAGAGTCGTTACCCAGAGAAACCCTGTCTCAAACAAAAATAAGGCAGAGAGCCAAAGGCGTCATCCGAGTGACTCACAGCAGTGCATACAGCTACATACACAAAACAGGTTGGCTTAAACTGTTCAAGTTGTATGTTGCCATACTTTCTAAGTGGAAATTAACATAAAGGAAAATGAATATTAAAAGAAAAATTTGATATCCTCAGCTGAAGACTGAAAATCTGAGCTAGGCATGGTGGCACATGCTTTTAGTCCTAGCACTGGGGAGGCAAAGCCAGGCCTGGGCTACATAGTGAATTACAGTACAGCCAGAGCTGCATAGCGAGACCCTGTCTAAAGACAAACGAAACCCAAAACCAAACAAACCTCTAACGTCAGCAATAGGTTCCACAAATGTGAGAATAATTATCACTTAACTAACATCAATTAATGCATGAAGGGTTTTTTGTTTTGTTTTGCTTTAATTGTTTCTGAGACAGGTTCTCTGATAGTTGTTCTGGTTGTTCTGGAACTCGCCACGTGGACCAGGCTGATCTGGAACACCTCACAGACCCACCTTCCTCTCTACTGAGTGTTTGCCACCACACCCAGCCTGCAGAGAGTTGTGGAAGTTGATTTAGTCTTATTCAATGAAATTTAGATAGTAACAAGCATTTTGTTTCGCATTCATCGAAAAATTTCAAAACTCTCTTAACGTAATTGGTTTATTTGTGTTATAAATGTATAAAATTGGATTGCTGGTAACATTTACCAATATCCTTTGTCTGGGCAAACACACGGTCAGGTGCAGCTAAGTGAATGGAAAGTCTTGAGCTGTACGGAAATCACCGGCGTCCGGAGGTCAAAAACAGTTCAAACTGCTCCAGCCAGGTGTCAAGCCCTGTTAGTCAGTAGCCAATTTGTCCGGGACGGTTTCTGCCCAGCGCCAGGTCCCGCCCCTAACTGCGGGCCAATCCCTGCCAGGCGCAGCGACCTCGGACTGCTATTGGAGGAGAGGGTCGGGGCGGTTCCCGCCCCGACGTCGCGGGTCTGAGGTGGAAAGCGAAGGCCGCGGCGCTTTTCTCTGCCCTTGACAGCCCTTCGCGTCGCCATGGCTGCCCTGGCGGCTCTGCACGGCGGCGTCCGCCGGTCTCTGCTTCGCGGGCTGCTGCAGGTGAGCGGGGTCAATTCCGGGGGGGGAGCCCGCCGCCGGCAGTCCAAGGTTCCGCCCTCCGGCAAGGCCGGGGCACCCCGAGGTGGGGTGCTCGCGGGGGACGGCGCTCACCACGCGTGCCCCGGGGCCGTGTGTCCCCGAGTCCGCCTGCACTGCTGTCACACCTGCCTGGACCTGGCCAGGCGCTATCCCAGACTGCAGAGAGCTGAGCCTCTTTACAGGCCCAGGAGTTTCGGAGACGTTCTTTAAAGTCATAAATACTTACGAATTTTTATTGGGGAGAGTGAGTTTATTGTCCCTCCCGCCTTTTTCTTTAAATCCGGTAGCTAATCATTGGTTTAATTATTGATCTTATCAGAACTCTGAGGCACTATGTGACAATCAAAAGATACTATACAGCCACTCCTTAAAACTAACAAGATGGCTACTCAGACACTAAAAGAAGTAAAATATATTTGGAGCGATTGCCTCTTTCTTTGTTGTTGTGTTTGGGGAACACTATAGTGACAGACCTTTGCAATGTTGCATTCTGGAAAACGCTTGACTGTTTTAGGAATGGGTGAGAAACTCCACAGTGTAGTTGTGAAGTTTCGCGTTTCCAGTTTGACTACAATAGGAAGCTTTGAAATCCATCTAGGTCCTAGAGCCTGCAGTTAGGTCTGGACGGTTGCCGTTTTTTGTTTCTGTAACAGTCAGGGTTCATGGAACTGGGTAGTTTTGGCAATAGACGCTGAAGGAGAGCAGTGCTTTGCGAGAGGTTGCCAAAGAATACTGCAGACATGAGGAGGGCTGTGGCCCGAGGGTGGGAGCTGAGGGAAAGCGAACTGTAAAATTAATCTTCCTGGAGTTGCAGGTGTCTGAGTTGCCAGCCACTCCACAGGCTGAGGCGAGAGGAGCTTGAGCCCAAGGGTTCCAACCCACGTGGGCAATTTGGGAATACCAGGCCTCAGAAAGATAAAAAAATTAAATTCTGAATGACTGAGATAATTGGAAAGCCAGAAGGATAGTTTATTTTCTGTTCTGGAGATGGACAGTACCTCACCTATAAAATAAGTGTTCCCAGGAAAGACACTGGTGTTTTTCCTCCTAATCCTGCTTTTTCCTCTCCCTATTCTCCTATCTTTTCTCCTTTTCTCCCCTCCTCTTTTCTCTCTTCCCACTTGGGTTTGCTGTGTCGATTAAATTGACTTTGAACTCCCCTCCCCATTTCAGCCTCTGGATTACCTGGGATTGAAAGAGCAGGCCATCATGCCCAGGAGTTCTTGATTAGTTTGTCAGTGTCATTGGGATGGCTCTAAAAATTACAGAGAAGTCAGGTTAACTGAGATTCCGAATAACGTTGCCTCGATGAGTTAGATAAGCCAGGTACTTGAGGCGTGTCGAAACAAAAGTGTGCAGAACAAAAGTGTCCATCACCAAGTGCAAATACATTCTGCACGAGCATGGGAAACCTGTGCTAGGGCCGTGGAGTCCTATGTGTGTAATTATACATGGAAAAAGCTGAGGCAGAGGGATTGTGAATTTGAAACCATCCTGGGCTGCACAGTGAGAGCTTGTCTCAGAATAGTGCAACCCAGAATGATCGGAGTATAGAATAGGAGTTTGAAGGGGGGACTGCTGCATAGGATTGAATGCATTTTAAGGGTCACTGAGTCTCCCATCAGTTCCAGCTTTGGGGTCTTCTCTATATTCTGCAACTCTGGGTCTTAGTGACCCTAACTGTGTCTTGCCAGCACTGATTGCTATCCTGTGTTCCGGGCTCCTTTTACTACCTGTAGATTATGTAGCGTATGCCATGGGCTTCCCACTTCCTTCATAAGAGCTGGGCATTTGCTCTAAGATGGTCTCTACAATACACACTCTTCCTGCCTCACATCCTGAGTACTGGAATTAGCAGTCAGTGTTAATTAGCTGCCACGTGTTTGGGATCCCATCCAAGTTCTCCAGTCCAGTTCACTTTGTTAAACTCTAGAAATGACCTATTGGATGCCACCTCAATTAAATTGAGCAACCATTTATTTAACTACAGAAATCTTTTCTGAAAAGAATTTTCAATAGTCTGTGCTGTGTTGTAGAATGGAATCTGACCTCTTACCCATTACATGGTCTTTTTAACCTTTGCTTTCAAATACACACAAACCAACAAACTTTTATGGGACTTTATCTGTCTGACTTTTTTAAACACCAGTCTCTGGTAACCCATGCTGGCCTTGAACTTCTGGTCCTTTTGCCTTCATTTCTTAAGCACTGAGATTACAGGAATGTGCCTCCATACCTAACATATTGGGCAGGGTTTTACACTTACTTTAACATACCAGAATTTATCTGTAAATTTTTTTGTGTCTCTGGTTATACTTATACCTACAAAGGGACAATAAAAAAGTTAGTGTCACTGTTGACAGGCTTGACCAGCGACGCAGATAACCACTGGTCAACAAGCGATGCAGGGCTTTGGGAAGAGGTTCCTGAGACCTGTTATTACTCTAGTAAGATAGAGATTTCTAGTGGTTCAGGTGCCAAGAGTAGAGGCTCTAGAGGACTTGGCAGGACTTGCCCTTGGCTGACTTCATGACTTCAGATGCTGGGTCGGCCAGGGTTCAAATTGCTGTCCGTGAAAGGAGACCTGCAGTTCCCATGGCTACTCCTAACTTTAAAGGTATTCCAGATCCTGTGTTCAGCTATTCCGTACCCTGAGAGTAGCCACACAAGCTGTTGTCTTCACTCTTTATAGACTGCTACATTCAGCTCTTTTTTTTTTGTTTTGTTTTTAAGATTTATTTATTATCTATACAGTGTTCTGCCTGCTTGTATGCCTGCAGGCCAGAAGAGGGCACCAGATCTCATTACAGATGGTTGTGAGCCACCATGTGGTTGCTGGGAATTGAACTCAGGACCTCTGGAAGAGCAGCTGCTGGGCCATCTCTCCAGCCCCCTACATTTAGCTCTTTATACACTGACTACAGTGTTGGTAGCAAAGCCATCCGTGAGTGACTGAGGGTGGCATGGGCAGAACCCGACCTTTCCCGTGTCTCTATCTACCTCTGCGGTGTCAGCTCACAGGCCGTGCTACTTCTGCATGCCCCCCCTTTTTTTCTTAACCTGAGGACTGACGTTAGGCCTCAGCAAGCTTTCTCCCACTGAGCTCTGCTCCCAGCCTTGCCCTCTGCTCTTCCTGAGTTCCGTTTCCAGCCTGTAAGGCAGTAGGCTGCAGTCACTCCTGGATCTTGGTTTTGCTTCATTACTGGGATTTTGTTTTTCAGCCTTGTTAGTAAACATCAGACATTGTTGTGGTCTCGTTTAGCACCTGCAGCCCTCACAGAGATAAGAAGTAAACAAAATTATGTCTTGTAACTCACCATATAGTGGGAAGACGGTAGGGCCATCTCAAGTTCAAGTTATGTCATGGAGGAGCAATAAGAATGTGCAAAGACCAAATAAAATAAATCTAGAAAAGGTTTTAAAGGGTGTAGAGAGGTGGCTCAGTGGTTAAGAGCAATGCCAGCTTTTGTGGAGGATAAGGGTTTGGTTTTCAGCACCTATATGACAGCTAACTTCTGTTCCAGAGTATCTAACACCTTCTGATTTCCTGGGCACCAGGCAAATGCTGTGCACATAAAACACAGTCAAAACACATGCACACACATGCACAGCCACCCACCCATATAGACCACACAAAGAGAAGAAGAATTTGTGTAGGTTACTGTGGAAGCAAGGTGGAAGTCTCTCCTCTGCCGGGTCTGGTTGAGTAGGGTTCCTGGGTTGGCTGTGAGGTTGATCTGTGCTTGTTGCTTTTTCAGTGGTTACTAATCTTGAGACAGTCTCACTCTGTAGCCCACGCTGACCTCCGTCTTGTACTTTCTCCGCCCCTGCTTTCCAAGTCCTGGGATCTCAGGAATGTTCCAGCACATTGAATTCTGTCATTCATTCTTCAGAATTTTGATGCTGGGATGTATTGGTGAAGAAGAGCCACAGTCCTGATCTCAGGGTGATTGCATTTTTGAGGGGGGGGGGAGGACCAAGGGATGATAACAATGTTCAATACATGATGATGTCAACATAAGAAAGAGTTAATAAATAGAGGTCAACTTTGTTCTATCAATTATCTAGACACAGGTTCTGACTGTAACTTAAGCTATCTAGCACTTACTGTAGAACCCAGCTGGCTTTGGACTCAGGCTCCTCCCACCTCTACTTTCCTAGTGCTGGAATAGCATGTGTGCTATCATCCTTGGTGGTCCAACTAAAAAACGTAAGTAAAGAAGATCATGTAGGGTTTGTCATTTGTGCTTAGATATGAAGAATAAAAATAAACCAGCTGGGCCAGAGAGATGGCTCAGTGGGTGAAAGAGGCAACCTTAGTTCAGATCCCTGGACTCAAATCCCTGGATGCTCAAATGCACACACACACACACACACACACACACACACACACACAATGTCTAGCTTAAAAAAAAAAGAAGCGGCACATGGTGACATATACCTTTAATCCCAACATTCAGAGGCAGAGTCACTTTAAGTTCGAATTCAACCTGGGCCACATAGTGAGTTTCAGTCCAGCCAAGGCTACAAAGTGAGACCCTGCCACAAACAAAAGAAAAACCCCAAATAAAGTTAGCCCACATGATTTACTGTGAAGTACTCAATAAAAACAGGGTGGTATTTTCCAAAGAAGGTAGGAGAGTCCAGTGTTGCTGAGGTTGAAAAGATTGTAGTTAAACATTTATTTTTTCTAAATAGATAGAATTATCTATTTAGTATAGATAAAAGTATAGATAGTGTTAGTGTATACAAGTGCATAAGGTATATACCACTGTTTTCTGCTACATACCAAGAATGGTGACTGGAGCCACATACATAAACATTTATAAATGTTCACACTTATTACTACATGCAAATGTTTCATAAAACAGCTTTGTATGTGCATATGGGCAGCCACTTACTAAACAGGACAGCTGTCATGTGGAGGCATAAAGTTCTTAACCCAGGACTGATAGCCATAGCCGTGTCTGGGTCTCACAAGGCTACTGTGCAAAGTCTCTGAGTGTTATTTGATTTTGCTCCATAAACAGTGTTGACCTTGCTCAGAGCCAACAGTGGTAAACTGGCAAAGGTAACAGGAACCAAGGGTACAGAGACATTGCAGGCAGTATGGGTAATGTCAGAGTTCACTGTAATGTGGGCTAGGGTTATGTTTATTTAAATTTTTAGACTAAAGGAGTCGGACAAGAGTGTATTTACATGCGTATGGAATGATCCAGAAGGAAGAGAAAGAAAGGATGCACAATAGGAAAGCATGCGTGTGGCACGGGAGCCATCGGTGAAAATGGACTAGACACTTGCAAGAAAAGACCAAGTAAAATGGACACAACCCCGCTTTACTGTAGCTAAGGGGGGGTGGTACTGGGATTAGAACCAGGGCTTCTATATACCAAGCACACACTCTGCCACTAAGTTCGTCAAAACTGTTTGAAGAGGTAGAATACACAAATTCTTGGACATTCAAGGACAGGAAACGGATGTAGCTGGCCTTGCTAGACCCCAAGTAGAAACTCGCTGACCATGGAATCCCCTGCCTCTTGCAGAGCGCCACGTCCCTTTTCTCGGGTCTGCTTGTGCTCTTCCTTTCCTTCTCTACTTCCTGTGGCTTTTCTCTCTGCGATCCAGCCTCTTCTCTTATGTGGTGTTGGCTGACTGAGGTCTGACTGCCTTCAGCCCCTCAATGATTCAGGTTAATACCCATTGTCAACTGGCCAGGCTCTCAGGGTGCCAACCAGGTAAGTCTAGTCCATTCTTGGTGCCATCAGCTCTGCTCAGTGCTGGTGATGGAGTTGTCTTGGAGGGACTTAAGGTTGCCCTTATAGAGGAAGAGTGTGGATGGTAGCAATGACTAGCATCTTTACCATATCAGAATTTTTATTCAGAGTTGTATTGCAGACAGTATGATTACATAGAAATATAGAAATAACAGCCTGATTTACATATGTAGAGGGTGTGTTTGTGGAGGACAGCCATGAAACAGATGCACTTGGGCCTTGCCTACTTGAGCACAGATTTGTTTATTGATCATGGCTGAGTGCACTGTCACTTAAGGGTCGTGTAAAGCTCAGGAGTGTAAAAACAAACAGTACCTTCCTAACATAATGACAGTCTTTAAGAAGTACAGATACACAGCCAGGTTTGGTATCACAACTGTAATCCTATAACTTGAAGGTCTGAAGTAGGGGATCTTAATTTTAGTTCTTACCTGGGCTATATAGATAGTAAGACCTTATCTAAAACAATTTTTTTTTTAAAAAAGGATAGAGATAGTAGCTGTTTTATTTCAGAGTTGGAATAAACACAGGTCAATTTGATGACAACTAGTGCTATGTATTTGTGTTACTATCAGATTTAAACAGTAGGATGAAACGTGCTTTTCAGTGGAGCCCTAGGTCTGAAGACGATTGCACAAACCAAGGAATCTTTCTCTTTTGAACCCCAGGGGTAGCTTGCTTATGGTACTGTTCTCATAGCTCTTATCAAACTCTAAGGAATATGTCCAGGCAATTTCAACACTTCTTCTTTACAAGCTTGCCTTGCGACTGAAGGTCCATGGTGGCCGAGCTCAGTCTTTATAATGCCTTTTTCAGGGAAGTGAGCTCAAGTGCTTTGCTGGACAAGGAAGGATCAAATCGTCTTGTGCGTATTGGTCATCTCCTCACGACACCAAGACTGAAAACCTCTTCAAAGCAGAAGACACATTGAAACTTTGTGATGTTAACATTTTAAAATCAAATCTAGACTAAGTTGTTTGTATAGCAGAGTTGATTGTGAGGCATTTCCCCACCATATTCTCTCACGCTTTCATTGAGAAAACCATGCTGTGGAGCCACTTATGTCCTAAAAGGTATGCCCGTGTCAGGCTGCCATTTGTACATACTTCTGTCATTCAAACACCATGAAAACCAGTTTGGTTATCATGGCTGTTCCTATTTATAACTCCACTGTCAAACTTACGTTTTATTTATTCTAAATTTTCAGTTGAAAGTTTTAGTTATCTATGTTCATTTAGGACAGAGTGTTTGTTTAATCTATGAAAGGCTAAATTCTTGGATCACCTGTAAGTCTAGACTTTTGTGGGCTATTTAGTGCTCTTTCCATGAGCTATAACTGTAACTATCAGTTGATGTGTGACTATATGCTGCTGCTTTTAGACTTGTTGACTTCATGTTCAGCTAGGGCTTTGAACTCTGCCCTACATTTTCAGAATTTCCTTTGTTGACATTTGTTTCTACAAATAGCGTGGAAAGAATTTAGATGTCTTTCTTTCTGTTCCTTTGAGTGTGGTGCTGAGGACCAACCAGAACCTCATACATGCCAGGCATTCACTCTTCCACTGACCTATACTCTAGCCCCCTGTTTTACTTCTTAAGAATTATCTGGCAATATAGGCCATATTATATGACATTTGTTTGCCTTGTGTAAATCAAGAGACACTTGCTGGAAGGTCTTAGGGAGTAATAGCAAGTTTTACTTATTTTTTTAATTGGATTTTTCATACAGTAGTCTTTTTATTAGAAATATTATTGTTATTATTATTATTATTATCATTATTATTAGTGTGTGTATGTATGCAGTGAGTATGTGCTGGTGCCCATGGAAGTCCTAAGAGAATGTTGAATCTCCTGGAACTGGAGTCAGGTAGTTCTGAACCACCCAGTATGCATGCTAGAACCCAGCCTGGGTCCTCTGAAAGGGTAGCCTCTAAACGGCAATCTCCTACCTACTAAAAATGCAAACAATGAGAACTGTGAACCTGTAATACTACATAATTGAGAACTTAGATATAACTTATATTATATCTGACTCAAGAGGCTGAAGCAGGAGGAGGGAGGAGTGTGTTCAAGGCTACTCTGGGTCTCAGTGAATTTGAGGTCAGCCTGGGCTATATAGGAAAGTGCTTTTCCAAAAATGTAGCCCATGACTAGAGATGTCGTTCAGCTGCTAGAGTGTGGTGTCTGAGAGAGCATGATGGTGTGGTGTGCCCAAAGCCCTAGGTCTGACCCCATCTCCTGAAGTCCAGCTGTGGTAGCTCAGCCTGCTATCTCAGCATTTTGGAAGCAGAGAGGCAGGATAATTAGAAGTCAGAGTCATCTCTCACTGTACAGTGAGTTTGAAGCCAACCTAGTTCCCATGAAATCTTGTCTCAAAATCAACCCAGCAAACAAAGCCGTTAAATTGTAGTGAGTATTTACTTTATAATTAGGACTCTTTGCTGTTGTTATGTTTACATGAACAGTTTTAAGGGCTGGAAAGATAAGCCTAGCAGCTAAGAGCTCTGCTGTTCTTACAGAGGAACTGCGTTCAATTCCTAATATCCCTACAGCAGTTCACAACTGTCTGTATCTCCAGTCCCAGGGGATCTGATACCTTCTGTCCTTCATTGGCACTGAATGAAGGTGGTACACAGACATACATGTAGACAAAAACCCATACACATGAAAATAAATAATATTAAAAATAAATTTTTAAGATGGCAGTTGCTGGAGAGATGGATCGGAGGTTGAGAGCACTGCCTGCTCTTTCAGAGGTCCCGAGTTCAATTCCCAGCAGCCACGTGGTGACTCACAGCCATCTATGATGGGATCTGGTGCCCTTTTCTGGCCTGCAGCATACATGCAGGCAAAACACTGTATACATAATTAATAGTTTAAAAAAAACAAAAATGATAGTTCATCAGAAGTTAAAATTTATATTTCTAATGAACAGCTTATCAGAAAAGTAATATTTATTGTAACCATTTTTTATGATTTATAAAAGTGGTGATATAGAGTGTGTAAAACTTGGAAATAAAAGTGTAAGAATGAAGAAAATAACCTTAAGTCTATTATTGCTAATTATGAAATTAATGGATGAATTTTAAAATATTGTAACATAAATATTTATCTTACAGGAAGGAAGATGCCTGGAGCGAACTTATGCATCCAAACCCACTTTGAATGTAAGTATACATTTAAAAAGAACCATATAGTTTCAAGAATTTAAAGCAATGTTGCCAGTAGAAACACACATGTTGCTAGGCATGGTGGTACAGTACATGCTTGCAGCGTGAGCTCTCAGGAAGGTGAGGCCAGAGGCCCTATCTCCAGCAAACCAACCAAAGCACACTTGCTTATATTTAGGTCTTGAATGTATTTGACAATTAACAAGGTTATGCAGTTAGGGAAAGCTAACAGTGCACATACTAAGTTTCTGCAATATCATGTTCATTCAGTCCGTGAGTAATTCTCTATAATCCACTATAAAACAGTTTCCTCTAAAACTGTGGAGTAGCTGGGTGGTGGCGGCACACCCCTTTAATCCCAGCACTTGGGAGGCAGAGGCAGAGGCAGGAGGATCTCTGTAGTTTGAGGCCAGCCTGGCCTACAGAGTGAGTTCTAAGACAGCCAGGGCTGTTACACAGAGAAACCCTGTCTCGAAAAACCTAAATAAATAAAATGAAAAATAAAATAGAGCATTTGCTGCTCTTCCGGAAGACCTGAATTTAGTTCCCAGTATTCAAGTTAGTAGTTTTAAAACTACTATTGCTAGGTATGGTGAGGAGGCAGAGGGGGAAACTCTGATTTCATGGCCAGTCAGCACTACATATCAAGTTCCATGCTGGCCAGTTATGTGTCATAGAAACAAAACAAACAAAGAAAGAAATGAAAATCAAAAACAAACTCTATTATCTGGGGTTTATGCATGCATGGTGCATGTGTGTTGGTATGTATGCACACATGCACTCTCATGTGTGTACATATACATGTGGATGTGAGAGGACAACCTTGCAGACATTTTTCCTGAGATCAAACTCAGGTTATAAGGTGAGCATTGAAAGTCCTTTACCTGCTGAGCCACCCTGACTGCCCCAGGTTTTAAAGCTTTGACCAAGCAAAACTGGAACTTAAGCTTCTGGCCTTAAACCTCCAGAGAGAACTGGGAGGGATTTTTATGTGTGCTTATAATTTGCCTTAATTTCTTTCTCCACGTTGCTCATTCTCTCGTTGTGTCCCTCCCTGCATCCTGCCCCCCAGCCACTGTGGGTTGAGCCCAGGGCCGTGCACCTGATAGACAAGCACTCCACCCATGAGCTATACCCCAGTCTTGTCTTTGTGTCGTGCCTTAAATTGTGGTGTGCCATGGTGTTTTCCAGCCGTTCAAATATTATTTTAATCCTTACAAACTATTCATAAGTGGTCTGAGTATGTTTAATAAATGAAACAGGATTTGAATATGCCTATGCTAATATTTTTACCTTTTTCTGTCTTGCCAGGAAGTGGTTATAGTAAGTGCTATAAGAACTCCTATTGGATCCTTTCTGGGCAGCCTTGCCTCTCAGCCAGCAACTAAGCTTGGTTCTATTGCAATTCAGGGAGCTATTGAAAAGGCAGGTCAGTGGTTGCATTGTTTGGAGTTGAGGGGGCCAAATGATTGGGGGATACACAATTGTTCTGCATTTACTGTATATATAACTTAGAAATTACATGGTTTCTGCATATCTAATTTCCCTTGTACTCAATAGGAATGAAACTCAACACCAACAGGAAAGAGAAATCATTCCTGCTCCATGTCATGTAATTTGCTTGGTAATATTAATAGTTAAATTGAATATTAGGAGAGAAGGCTCAGTGATTAAGAGCACTGGCTGCTCTTCCCAAGGACTTGGGTTCAGTTTCCAGTACCCACATGGCTGCTTTCAGCTGTTGGCAACTCCAGTTCCGGATGACCCTGTGCCTTTTTCTGGTCTCCCTGGGTCCTGCATACACATGGTGCACAGACATACATACAGGGAAAACACCCATATACATAAAATAAAAATAAGTAAGGTCCTAAAAAAGAAATTGAGTAAATCCAGGACATTCCTTTCTGCTGTTTAAAAGGGATCCCGAAAGAAGAAGTGAAGGAAGTCTACATGGGCAATGTCATCCAAGGGGGTGAAGGGCAGGCCCCCACAAGGCAAGCGGCATTGGGTGCAGGTATGACGAACACGTTTACTGTTATACTTCATATTCTTGGAAATGTCAAGGCCATTTCAGCTAAACGAGTGAATGCATGATTCTTATAGAAAAGAACATTTGAAGATTATGGTCACATGCTCTATTTTAATTATACAATTATATTTGAAAAATGACTTTTTTTTTCAAAAGTATAATTTATGTTGGCTTTAGATTTACCGATTTCCACTCCGTGCACCACGGTAAACAAAGTCTGCGCTTCAGGAATGAAAGCCATCATGATGGCCTCTCAAAATCTTATGTGTGGACATCAGGTAAGAAACATCTTGTTTGGGCTGGAGAGATGGCTCAGAGGTTAAGAGCATTGCCTGCTCTTCCAAAGATCCTGAGTTCAATTCCCGGCAACCACATGGTGACTCACAACCATCTATAATGAGCTCTGGTGCCCTCTTCTTGCCTACAGACATACACACAGACAGACTATTGCATACATAATAAATAAATAAATCTTTTTTAAAAAAGACTTATTAAATAAAAGAAACATCTTGTTTTAATAGCTTGGGATCGTGGGGGTCGCGGGAGAGAGTAGAAGGGAAGGGGAGCAGAGAGAAATGGATAGCTCAATAAAAACAATAAAAACATTTAAAAAAGAAACACTTGTTTTATCTGCCACTTAAAATAATTTCAAATCCTAGAAAACACCAAATGTCTAAACACATTTATGCTGTGTCAGTGAGATTCATTATTTCTACTGCATGCATATGAGTGTTTTACCTGCATGTCTGTGAACCACATGTGTGCCTGGCATTCAGAGGCCAGAAGAGGGCAAACCCCTGGAATGGAAGTTAGAGACAGTTATGAGCCACTCTGGGCAGAGAATATAAAACTCAGGTCCTGTGGAGAACAACACACTTTTTACTGCTGGGCCACATTTTCAGCTTCCCTTCCACTCCCTTTTAAAAGATTTGTTTCCTTTATGTGTGTTAGTGTTCTGCCTGCATGTATGTTTGTGTGCCCCATACATGTCTGGGACCCATGGAGGTCAGAAGAGAGTATTGGATATCCTGTTGAATGGTTCTGGACTACTATGTGGGTGCTGGGAATTGAACCTGGGTCTTTGGAAACCCAGTAAGTGCTTCTAACCATTGGCCATATCTCCAGACCCCTTTGTTTTTAAAAGATTTATTTTTCACTTATGTGTGTATGTTTGTGTGAATGAATGCCACATGGACAGGCACCTGTGGGGGCCTGAAGACGATGTTGGATCCCCTGGAGTTAGAGGTAGGTGTAAGCTGCCTGATGTGAGTGCTAGAAACTGAACTCCAGGCCTGCAGAGATGACTCAGTGATTAGGAGCATTGCCTGCTCTTCCAAAGTTTCTGAGTTCAATTCCTGGCAACCACATGGTGGCTTACAACCATCTGTAATGAGGTCTGGTGCCCTCTTCTGGCTTGCAGAATACACACAGACAGAATATTGTATACATAATAAATAAATAAATAAATAAATATTTTTTTTAAAAAAAAAAGAACTAACACTTCATCACTCAGTGCTTGCCGTGGCATCCAGAGGCTGTGTCTGGGCTTAAGAACTAACGCTTCATCAGTTCTCGGATGACAGATACTGAAGTAGCCACAGATGCAGAGTCACAGGGAAACACACGTCTTTATTAGAATTTATTTCTAGACATTCTAGCTTGCCATTGTATGTCACAACCAGGCTAAAGGTCAGCATGACGTGTTTTCATATTATTTCTCACATATGTAAGAAACATACTTATGGGGCTGGAGAAATGGCTCAATGGTGAGAACCCTGGCTGCTCCTTCAGAGGACCTGTGTTCAGTTGCCAGCACCCAGGCAGTGGCTCACAGTCATTTCTACTCCAGTTCTAGGGTATCAGGCATGTACATGGTGCACAGACACACATGCAGGCAAAACACTCATATGTAATTGGTTTTTTTTTTATTCTACTCAACTCCCAAATGAATACATGGAGACTTATTCTTACTTATGAATGCCCAGCCTTAGCTTGTCTTGTTTCTTGCCAGCTTTTCTAACTTAAATTATCCCATTTCTCTTTAACTATGTTTTGCCTCTGGGCTTTTTTACCTTTCCATATTCTCTGTCTTCCCTTCTTACTCCATGGCTGTGTGGCTGGCCCCTGGCATCCTCCTCTCTTCCTTCCTTCTTTTCTTGTTCTTCCCTCTTCTTCCTCTCCCCAAGCCTAGATTTCTCCTCCTATTTATTCTCTCTGCCTGGCAGCCCTGCCTGTTTGTCTGTCCTGCCTACTAGCTACTGGCCATTCAGGTCTTTATTAGATCAATCAGGTGCTTTGGACAGGCAAAGTAACAGCTTTACAGAGTTAAACAAATGAAACATAAAAGAATGCAACACATCTTAACATCATTAAACAAATATTCCACAGCATAAACAAATGTAACACATCTTAACCATAACACTCATACACATAACATACAGATAATAGAAATGAAAAAACCAAACCATACCTCTGTGCTTACTTTCAAAGAAGAAAAGGGTGCACCGAGGTCTGAGGTGCTGTGACACGGACCTTATCACACAAACAGCATGTGCATACCCTAGAAACTTCACAGTTATAGAAGGCATAAATGGAGGTTTGTTTTCCTCAGAGCCCTGCCCCCCCCCCATCCAGTCCCACCAGTTTGGATACTCTGCTACTTAAAACTGGAGAAACTTTGGGCAGGTAGATATGTGGAAGACTTGTTACTAAATCTGACTATTTTCTATTGAGTACTTAGGATTTATAAGAATAGAACAGTGAACAAGACAACTTTGAAAAATACTGAAAATAGGGCCGGAGAGATGGGTCAGAGGTTAAGAGCACTGGCTGTTGTTCCAGAGGTCAAATTCAATTCTCAGCACCCGTATGGTGGCTCACAACCATTTATAATGAGATCTGATGCCCTCTTCTGGCCTGCAAGGACACATGTAGTCAGAACACTGTACGTATAATAAACAAATAAATCTTAAAAATACTAAAAACAAACCCTGAAGAATTACTGAGTGAGAGGATTTAAATTTTTGGAAGTTGTCAGATGCTTTTCAAAACCTACCAGGTCCATCTTCTAAAAGTTAAGTGTAGTCAAATCCTTGTCTGGTTCTTGTCTTTTTCTTTGTTTGCTTTGTGTTTTCTGAGAGAGTGTCTCATTTGGCCCAGGCTGGCCTCACCCTCACCATGTAGCTGAAAATGAACTCGAACTCCTGCTCCTCCTGCCTCAGCTTTCCAAGGGCTAGGATTATAGATGTGCACCAGCATGCCCAGCTTCTAACTTTAGTGGAATTATATTGAATATTTTAAACCATTGTTTTTATAGTAGGGGCATTCACATGTTACCGTGGTTAGTAAAGCCACACTGCTGACAGCTGTGTGTAGAATGCAGCAGCCTGCAGCTCTGAACTGACCGAGGCTTTGCTGTGCCCTGAGCAGGATGTGATGGTGGCAGGTGGGATGGAGAGCATGTCAAATGTCCCCTATGTGATGAGCAGAGGAGCAACTCCGTATGGCGGGGTAAAACTGGAAGACCTGATCGTGAAAGACGGGCTAACTGATGTCTACAATAAAATTCATATGGTAAGTGCCACTTTTAAGAAATGTGCATGTGCTGGTATTCATGGAAGCCAAAAGGTGTCAGTCCTCAGGAGCTGGAATCGATGGGTTTGAGGCATCTGACCAGAGAATCTAACTGGAGTTCTCGGCAGGAAGTCTGCGCCCTCAGTTGCTGAGGTCTTTCCAGCCCCCAAATGCAATTTAATCCATAATCCTTGACTTTTTATAACACATGTATTTTTGAATACTTTTATGGTGGGTTCTATAAATGTTTTAGTCATTCACTTTATAAAAGTATTTTACTATGTCCATTTCTTTAGCGTGGATCACCTATTAAAAAGCTGCCCCATACTTGAGTGGGGTATTTCCTCCTAAAATGGCAATTGTATCTTTCCTGCAAATATTAGAAGACAAGACACGAGGGAACATCACCTAGAGTAGAGGAAGGGAATTTAGAGAAATGGAAATGAAGCCCTAATCATTGAGTTATGCAAAGATAATTTTTTCACCTTTCCCAGGGTAACTGTGCTGAGAATACTGCAAAGAAGCTGAATATTGCACGAGGCGAACAGGATACTTACGCCATCAGCTCTTACACCAGGAGTAAAGAAGCCTGGGATGCAGGGAAGTTTGGAAATGAAATCGCTCCTGTCACAGTCTCAATAAAAGGTAGAGAGGCATTTCCAAAGTAAATTTCAAGTTTATAAACATTTGTCTTTTCTTTGTTACATTTTACTTTTTTTTGTTTGGGTTTTTATTTGTTTGTTTTGTTTTTCAAGATAGGGTTTCTCTGTGTAGTCCTGACTGTCCTGGAACTCACAGAGATCTGCCTGCCTCAGCCTTCCCAGTACTGGGATTAAAGGCATAAGCCACCACCATCCAGCTAGATTTTACTTTTAATAGATTTCCCGTGTTGTAGAACTGATGTTTCCATTTTAAGTGAGTGTTATCTTTATTCATTTGAGCTGAACATATTAACAGTTTTGCTTAAGTTAAGACAGGGAGGGTTACAGGTCACCCAAGTATACAGTGCATTAAGCTTACTATTTTATAAAGTAGTTTTAAATTTATTTCTTTGGTCTTGAGCTTATGTGGCATGTGCATACTGTGGTGTAGGCTGCAGGAGCTGGTTCTCTTCTCCCCCATGTATGTTCCAGGGATTCAAGGCAAAGCATCTGGCTTAGTAGAAAGGGGGCGTACTTACTGTTTTTTGAGAAAATGTATTTATTAGAATTCTTTCTCAGCCGGGCGGTGGTGGCGCATGCCTTTAATCCCAGCACTCGGGGGGAGGCAGAGGCAGGTAGATCTCTGAGTTCGAGGCCAGCCTGGTCTACAAGTGCTAGGTCCAGGACAGGCTCCAAAAGCTACATGGAGAAACCTTTTCTCGAACAAACAAACAAAAAAGGATTCTTTCTCATGTAAGTGACATATAGCAGATACATTTTAAACTTATTCTACTTTTTTCCTTTCTTTTGGTTTCTTGACACAGAGAAACCTGTTTTTGGAGCCTGTCCTGGAACTCCCTCTGTGGACCAGGCTGCCCTTGAACTCAGAGAAATTTGCCTGTCTCTGCCTCCCAAGTGCTGGGATTAAACGTGTGTGCCCCACTGCCTTACATTTATTCTTTAAAAGATTTTATTTTTACTATATTGTGTGTGGTTTATATGCACACAAGTACAGGATCCTGAAGATGCCCCTCTAGATGGAGATACAGGAGAGTTGCCTCATGTGGGTGCTGAGAATCAAACTTGAGTCCTCTGGAACAGTAGTGTGTGCTCGTCACCACTGAGCTGTCTCTCCAGCCCTGCTCACACTTATTATTAGTGTGCATATATATGTGTACACGTGTGCTCCACGGCCTGCATGTGGAAGTCAGAGGACAATTTTGTGTAATCAGTTTTGTTTTTTTCTACATTTACATGGGTTCTGGGGATTGAACTCAGATTATCAAGCTTGCATGGTGAGCACTTCTGTCTGCTGAGCCTAAAAAGTACTTTAGAAGTCAACATCCAGAAATGAAGGATGAATGACATTCATCTCTAGAGCTCTGAGTCAAAGAAAGCAGTCTTCTCACCAACAAATCCGTGGTACAGACTTATTGCGTGGGTGATAGAACACTTTATCATGCAGCACTGTCTGGGCTCTACCCTTGGCATACAGTGAGGTCTGTGATCATAGACCAGGGCTGGGAGACTGGGTGTGCAGGCACAGGCAGGAGGATGTATGTGCATTTGAGGCCAGCTTGGTCCACTTACTGAGCTTCAAGACCACCAGGACTACATAGAGAGATCATATCTCAAAAATAAGGGCGGGTGGAATAATGGGTTGTGGGTGTAGGCTTCACTTGTAGATGGACACTTGTTTGGAATGGATTGAAGCCCGTTTGAGGAACCATGTGTAACAGTTTCTACCCAAGGGGCCATTTGTTGTCCTGACTGCGTGATCACTTAGCATCTCAATGTTAGGTAAACCAGATGTGGTGGTGAAAGAAGATGAAGAGTACAAGCGTGTTGATTTCAGTAAAGTGCCGAAGCTGAAAACCGTGTTCCAGAAAGAAAATGGTAAGTAGTAAGAAATCAGACATAAGAAAAAAAAAAACAAGTTAATATGTAATGTTTATTATTGGATTTGCCTAACAATTTTTAAAGATTTTTTTCTGTGTGTTTGACCTGCATATATGTCTATGCACCACTTTGTACCTGGTGTCCTTTGGGTTAGAAGATGACCTTTAAATCCCTGGAACCAGAGTTACAGTTGTGGGCTGGCATCTGGGTGCAGGGAGCCAAACCCAGGTCCTCTGGAAGAGCAGCCAGCACTAACTGCCAAACCATCTCTCTCTAGCCCTTGCCTAACAATTTAAACAAAGTAACTGTAGAAAACATCTAGATGTTACTTAACATGTATAGATACTGTATTCAAATAAAATTAGCCAAATAATAAAAATTCAAGGTATGTTTAACTTTGTTTAACAGTTCATACCTTTAATATATTAAGTCCTAGCATGGGAGAGGGGATTATATAACATGGCTGGAGAATTGAATTTTCAGAGGCAGGCATCCCCATAGTTTGTGAACTGAAAATTCAAATTTACATAATACATTCTTTGAGGCTTTGCTGATGGCTGTGTTCACTGGTATACTAAATATATAAATATACTAAATATATAAATAAGCCTTGCTTAGTGTATGTTACTCCAGAATGTTGGGACAAATGGAGTCTATGTTCTGAATATCCTTTTGGGAGACTGTCCATGTTAGGCAAGTACTCTTCTATTGAGTGATATGCCTAGCCCTAAATTTCTGAGTGGTTTGGAGCCCTCAACTTTGAGAAAATATAAGCTCTTCCAGGTTGGCTGTGTGCAGCTGTGATAATCTGCAGTTAGTTTTCCCTCTTTCTTGAAAGAGTTGCTCAGTTCTAAGTATAGAAATCACCACTCACCTTTTTGTCAGCATAATAAAAACATATTGTAAGAGTACATATTATAAATAGTGGTGACCCACACCTTTAATCCCAGCACTCAGGATAGAGAAGCAGGTGGATCTTTTGAGTTTAAGGCCAGTATGGTTTACAGAGAGTTCCAGGACAGCTAGGGATATACAGAAAACCCCTGTCTTGTAACCCCCCACCCCAAAAATTAATACAAACAAAAAATCTTTAAAAAACAAAAATACATCTTAAACTGGACATGGTCATTGATCTCTTGGGAGGAAGAGGCAGGTGGAGTTCCAGGTCAGCCAAGGTTGCATAGCAAGACTGTTTCAAAAAAAAAAGAAAAGAAAAGAAAGAAAAAGAAAAAGGCAGAGAGAGATGAGATTGAGGCCAACCTGGTCTACAGAGCAAGTTCCAGAACAGTCAGGCAGGGCTACCCACAGAGAAATTCTGTCTTGAAAAACCAAAATTAAAAGAAAAAAAAAATAAGCCAGGCATGGTGGCACATACCTTTATTTCCAGCACTTGGGAGGCATAGACAGGAGGATTTCTGTGAGTTCCTGGACAACTAGGGCTGTTACACAGAAAAACCCTGTCTTGAAAAATCAGTAAATAAACAAATAAACAAATGGACTAATGCAGGGTTTCCATTGTCAATATTAAATAGCTTCATTGACAATTTATGTACACAAAATGATTTAAAGTATATAGCTGAGTGGTTTTAGTATTTACTGACATTCAACTTCAAGTGACTATAGAGAACACCTGATTATGACTTGGATTTGGAAAATACAAATAGTGTCTGCTATACGGATGTTGAGAAGAAACATGAGAGTTGGTCACGTACCAGTGCCTCCACTACTTCTGCAGAAATGCACTAAATCCCCACCATACACAGTGAGCAGCAAACATTCACTGTGGAGCTAGCTCTGTGCATGTTTCCCCAGGGCAGAAATTATCTCCAAGCCTGTCTATAACTTGTCTACATATTTGACAAGGCAGACAGTGCTCTGTGGGTATCTGTGGGAGAGAAGAGGATCGACTCAGAAGAATGTGTGACTTTACGTTTTGTTGATTTCAGGCACAGTAACAGCTGCCAATGCCAGCACACTGAACGACGGAGCAGCTGCTGTGGTTCTCATGACTGCAGAGGCCGCCAAGAGGCTCAATGTGAAGCCACTAGCACGAATCGCGGGTAGATGTTCTCACCTTGTTTTTTCTTTTTTCTTTTTCTGGTATTGGGAAGCCAGAGCGGTAAAGTGTAAACACATTGTCTGTCAGGGCTAGAACTGCTGGGATGAAACACCATGATCTAAGCAACCTGGGGAGGAAAGATGTGTTCAGCTTATGTTTCCATATCACAGTTCATCATCAAAGGAGGTCAAGACAGAAACTCAAGCTGGATCCTGGAGGTGGGAGATAATGCAGAGGCCATGGAGGAAAACTGCGTCTGCCTTACTACAGAACTAGGACTGCCAATCCAGGGATAGCACCACACACAATGAGCTGGGTGGTCCCCCATCAATAACCACCTAAAAAAATGCCCTATAGGCCTACCTTCAGCCTGATCTTATCTAAGCATTTTTTCAGTTGAGGTTCCCTCCTCAAAAGACTTTAGCTTGTGTCAAGTTGACATCAACTAGCGAGCACACACATGCTAAGCAAGCATTCTGTCAGCGAGCTATTTCCCCAGCCCTCTTTTTCAGAGGGTCTCACTTTAGTTATACAGGCTGGCTTAAACTCATTATGTCTAGTCCAGGCTGGTTTTGATCTTGTTATCTGCCTGGAACAGCATTTCTTATAGGCTTGTGCCACAAGGCCTGGTTTGACCTTTTTTCTTTCTTTCTTATTTAGTTAAAAACACAACAACAACAACAACAAAACTGTGCAAGTACTTTTTGCCTCTGGAGGCCTAGGCACTCCCCTCAATTGCTTCCCATCTTTAGTTCTGAGAACAGGATATCGCCTTGGAAACACAGAATAGTGGACTTGGCTTTCTATTTTGGTTGACGTAGAAGTTCTTTTAATATTTTTGTTAATTTATAAAATTTAAGATGCTGGCAAAATACTTCAGTGAGTAAAAGGTGCTTCTTGCCAAGCCTGATAACCTGAGTTGGATCCCTGAAACCCATATGGTAGAAGGAAGAGAACTCATTCCCACAAATTGTCCTCTGACCTCCACAGGTGCCATGCCACACATATGCCCACTCTCACACAAAATACCCCACCCCAAGTTTTTAAAAATAGTATTATTTTAAAACAAACAAACAAACAAACAACAACAACAAAAAACATGCCAGGCATGGTAGCACATCCCAGCACTCAGGAAACAGAGGCAGACGGATCTCTGTGAGTTTGAGGCCAGCCTGGTCTACAAAGTGAGTTCTTTTGTAGAACAGTACAGCTAAGACTGTATTGCTAAGAGAAACCTTGTCTAAAAAAAACCCAAAAAACAACAAAAAAACCCCTCCTGTTATCCATCATATATGAGCAGAGAAAAGGAAAAGATATGTTTTACCTAATAGGTAGCCCCCAGGTAAAATGAATATGGAAGTAGGAGTCCAGAAAAGCAAACAAAAGTTGTTGTCTGCATGTATGATATGCCATGTGGAGGTGTGGAGGTCAAAAGACAAATCTGTGGAGTTGTTTATTTCCTTCTACCTTTACATGGGATGTAAAGATTGAACTCAGGTCTGTATACTTTGTATAGTGTTTTACTGAGTGAGATATCATGCCAGCCCTTATTTTTACCTTTGAAATCTGTTGTGTTTTGATGTGGGATGTCCTTCTGTATGTGTTGCTTTTATTGGTTAAAGAAAAAAAAAGTAGGTGGAGTCAGGCAGTGAGGCACTGAGGAAAAAAGATATGCAGAAAATGAGGTAATGCCAGGACCCCATGGCAATACATAGACTAATAGAAATGGGTTCATTTAAGATATAAGAGCTAGCTAGAAATATGCCTGAGCCATCAGCCAAACAATGTTGTAATTAATATCTTTGTGATTATTTGGGGTCTGGGCAACCGGGAAGTAAAAGTACAGTTTGTTTACAGTGTCTTCTCTGTAAATAGAATTTTCTTTATAATACATTTACCATTTTATTCTTAGCTTGTAATGAGTAACTTATATTTGTGGTACTTGGGATTGAACTAACAGCCTTTTGAGCTCTACTCCTGATGCCCCAGCTCTTGTGGTGTAATGGTTAACGCTCTGGACTCTGAATCCAGCAATCCGAGTTTGTTTCTTGGTGGAAACTGTTCCTTGAGGAGGAGACCTGGTCAGTCGTCCTCATCAACTCAGACCATGAAACCCCATATAAATGGGCTGCCCATCAGACTGCAGCACTGCCGGGGCATGTTTCACCTTCACTTCTCCTGTGTCAGCATTGCCCATCAGGGGTTAGAGACAGTTGTGAGATGACTGATGTGGGCGCTGAGAACTGAACTCTGGTCCTCTGGTAGAATAGCATATGCTTGCAACTGCTCCCAGACCAGCAGTTCTCATCCTGTGATCCAAACACACCCCTCACAGGGGTCACATAGCAGACATATTATGATTCATAACAGTAGCAAATCTCATTATGAAGTAGCAATGAAAATAATTTTATAGTTGAGGGTTACCACACATGAGGCTGTATTTATAGTGTCAAAGCATTAGGAAAGTTGAGAGCCACTGTCTTAGTGCCACATTTTTTAACCTCTTTCCAGACAAATCAGTGTCTTAGAGACTAGTTTAATCTTATTAAGAACAGAATCTTACGAAAGGAGCAAATGTGTAGCTGGGTGTGGTAGTATACACCTTTAATCCCAACACTCAGGTCAGGGCAGGGATGTCCTGAATACGAGTCTACCCTGGTCTACAGAGTAAGTTATAGCATAGGCACGGCTACATAGTGAGACCCTGTCTTAAAAAATAAAAAAGAGCAAATTGAGTCACATACGGCACAGAGATTAGGCAGTGTGCATTTCTTTGTTAGCTTTGCTTTTGAGTCTTATATACACGGATGAATCTTTGGGCATATGTAGAAGAGTTTAACGGTGCTTCTTTTTCAGGATTTGCTGATGCTGCTGTAGATCCTATTGATTTCCCAGTTGCACCCGCATATGCTGTACCTAAGGTAAGAAAAGGTGATTCTGCTAACTTGTGCTTTGCATATTGTATTAAGATCACAATTTTTACATTTTACATGTTCATTTGCAGAACAGTGATAATTTGGTATTGAGTCTGTTCACTTCAGAAAATAGTTAACTGACAGGAAACCTGAAACTACAGATTAGAAGTGGATAGCTGAATCACTTGTAAATATGATGCTGAATGCATACATCTGGTGTGGTGAAGGAAAGGTACCCAGTCTAGAATATAAAGTAAACAGCTGCTCGTAGAGGTTTCTTCATGCTGAAAGGCACCATGGACTGTATGTCTTACAGGGAAGAGTTAACACTAGATACAATGAATCCACATAGTTTTCTGTGCTTTCAAAGGCAGACATACCAAGCCTGTGTGAACACATTAAGAGGTCACAGGCAAACAAAGATGCTCAGGACGTGGAACCCCTGAACCTCAGGGGTTCAGGGTTCGGAGACCTCGGATGTCCTCACCTTGACCTCATGTTTGTGTGAGAAGGTCCTGAACTTGAGATCCTCCTACCTCAGCCTCCAGAGTGTTAGGACTGCAGGTGTATACTGCCCATCCAGCTAGAGCTGACATCTGGGAATAGTATACAGATTAAAAGAAAAAGGGGGAGCATGTAGGCTAAGACTAGAGAAGGATCAGACACAAGTAGCTGCAGATCTCAGACAGGAACAGATACATTTGAAAGTGAATGCTCTAGATTTGCAGCCAATGGTAAAATTTCTAAGGAAAGGGGATTTTAGAAATATTTTTTTTTGATTTTTATTGACCTCTACATTTTTCCCTGCTTCACTCCCTGCCTCTCCCCTCCCTACTTCAACCCTCCCACAAGGTCCTCATGCTCCCAATTTACTCAGGAGATCTTGTCTTCTACTTTTTTTTTAAAGATTTATTTATTTATTATGTATACAACATTCCTTCCATGTATGCTTGCATGCCAGAAGAGGGTGCCAGATCTCATTATAGATGGCTGTGAGCCACCATGTGGTTGCTGGGAATTGAACTCAGCACCTCTGGAAGAGCAATCAGTGCTCTTAACCTCTGAGCCATCTCTCCAGCCCTTGTCTTCTACTTTTTACTTCCCATGTAGATTAGATCTATGTAAGTCTCTCTTAGTGTCCACATTGTTGTCTAAGTTCTCTGGGATTGTGGTTTGTAGGCTGGCTTTCTTTGCTTTATGTTTAAAAACCACCTATGAGTGAGTACATGTGATAATTGTCCTTCTGTGTCTGGGTTACCTCACTCAAAATAATGTTTTCTAGCTCCATTCATTTTCCTGCAAAATTCAAGTTGTTGTTATTTTTTCCTGCTGTGTAGTACTCCATTGTGTAAATGTACCACATTTTCCTTATCCATTCTTCGGTTGAGGGCTTCTTGCTATGACAAACTAGAAATATCTTTTAAAAGGTATTATTATCATAAGGATAATCATTAGCACAAAAATCCCTTCCCCTCAAGACGAGGAACTAGTGAAAGAAAACACGATCAAGATTTCACAAAAGGTATTTGTGCCTGAGATAATTCCACAGCTTTTCTAAGGAAACTGAGGGGACATGTGGGAACAGACAAAACTCTGCAAGAATATAGAACTAAGTAATAGATAACCAGCAAGATAGATCTTAGGGACATACAGCATGATGTACTGTCATATAGAGAATGCACCTTCCAAACATTTGTGGAATGTCCAATTACATAAAAATTTCTTTATCTCTGAAAAGTAGACATCATAATGCATGGAAAACAAAATTCTGATTATAGTGCAGGGAAAAAAAGCAAAATCTGAAAACAAATATTTTCGAAAAGAAAAGAAAAGCCCTTCCTATTTAAGTAACTAACTACATCAAGGGGAAATATAAACCAAAACTGTAATATTTCCAGAAAATAACAAAAACAAGTTGATTGCTAAATATCTGGATAACCATCTAAAATTTATTTTTAGGTTCTTAAATATGCAGGATTGAAAAAGGAAGACATTGCCATGTGGGAAGTAAATGAAGCATTCAGTGTGGTTGTACTGGCCAACATTAAAATGCTGGAGATTGATCCTCAAAAAGTGAATATCCACGGAGGAGCTGTTTCTCTGGGTCATCCAATCGGGTTAGTATTGTAACAAATAATCCCACCCAACTTAATAGTAGCCTCTACTATCTATCAGCTGTTTCACTTTGTCAAACATGATTTCTGGGTGATCACATCCAACAGTGAACACAGACTTAGCATTTCTGTGTTCTGAAATCAGAGTTTCTACTGCTGTGACGGAACACCACGACCAAAGCAAGTTGGGGAGGAAAGGGTTGAAGGAACTCAGTACAGGAACTCAAATCAGGGCAGGAACCTGATGCAGAGGCCAAGGAGGGGTGGTGCTTACTGGCTTGCTCCTCATGGCTTGTTCAACCTGCTTTCTTATAGAATCCAGGATCATCAGCTCCGGTATGGTGCCTCCCCCATCAATCACTAAGAAAATACCCTAGAGGGCTGGAGAGATGGCTCAGAGGTTAAGAGCACTGACTGCTTTTCCAGAGGTTCTGAGTTCAAATCCCAGCAATCATATGGTGGCTCAGAACTATCTATGATGAGATCTGGAGCCCTCTTCTGGTGTTCAAGTATACATGTAGGCAGAACACTGGATACATGATAGATAAAGATTTATTTATTTATTTAAAGAAAATACCCTAGAGTCTTATCCACAGCCTGATCTTCTGTGTTTTCTCTGATAACTCTAGCTTATGTTTAGATAACACAAACTATTTAGCACACTAACAGTGCTGAACAGAAAAGAAGAAAAAGCCTAGACTTTTGTAAGAGCTGTAACCTCTTGCTGAAACTCATTTCCTAAACTGAAACGTTCTAGCTAATAAGGTTTTCAAGAAATTAATTTGGAGTGGAAACTCTTCTGGTTAGCTCTAAATTCTGTCCTTCATTAAAGAATCAATGCTTTCTTGATCCTAGGATGTCTGGAGCCCGGATTGTTGTTCACTTGGCTCATGCCTTGAAACAAGGAGAATTTGGTCTGGCCAGTATTTGCAATGGAGGAGGAGGTGCTTCTGCTGTGCTGATTGAGAAGCTGTAGACAGACAACCTGTTTTAGGAGACAGTTCCATGTGATCAGAAACCCTGCTGAAGTGAACGTGACTCTCTTGGGCCAGCTTATATTCAACATAAGCTTTTCATTTTTTATTATTTTCTATTAAATTTTTTTTTAAAAAATAATCATCATATTCAAAACCTATTGAAAGTACAAATAAAAATTTCTCCTTTAATATTTTTGGTAAACTTGAACATTTTGACACCACTATTTGAAATACCAATGTTGGTGCTAGAGACCTGGCTCAGCGTTTAAGAGATCTGTTGCTAGCCAGGTGCCGGTGGCACAGCCTTTAATCCTAGCCCTAGCACTCAGGCGGCAGAGGCAGGCAGGTAAGATCTCTGAATTCAAGGTCAGCCTGGTTTACAGAGCTAGTCTCATGACAGCCAGGGCTATACAGAGCAACCCTGTCTCAAAAAAACAAAACAAAACCAACTGTTGTTCTTGCAGATGATGTCTGGTTCCCAGGACCCACATTTGGTGTCACACAATCAGGGGGGACTTGCACACTATGTTGCAGATGCCAGAGAAATGAGATGTTATGCCTCCTGACCTCACTAGCTGCTGGTATAAGTAGAGGGAAGCCATCCTAAGAGATACTTTGTAATGGGGGCTCTCTCCTGAAGAGACTAGCGATCCAGCATTTTTACATCTAAATATACCAAGGAAATAAGATTAAGTTACAGATGGGTTTCTTCAGGAAGGCTGCTGATCACCATTGCAATACAGTAACAAGGCTCCTAGACTCTCCCAAGCCTCCAAATTACCTGTTTCACACCCAGCAAGCTTCCCATTCTGCCATTAGAATGAAGAGTAAGACTGGCTGTTTATATTTTCTGCTTTTGAACTTTAATCTCTGGGCAGTCAAAATTGGTTTCAAATAAAGTTATGTGAGAACCAATGAAAATTATATGGTTAAATCTTCCAAGTGCTCTTCCAAGTGAGCATAAAATATAGCAGTTCATGTCAACTAAGCCCGCACTGACGATCCTTACAGGAATCCTACAGAGAGGGAGGAAACAGTTACAAACATGAGAGCACCACAAAGAATAGGTTCCACGAGGGGAACTGAGAACCAGGAGAGACCATGCCCACCGCAGTAAACCAGCAAAGCTTAGAATAAGAAAGAACTAATGAAATCAATAAAACTATCATGATGGGCAAATTCTCAGCCCAAACTTTTAATGGCTTTAACTTAAAAATAAGACTATCTCAATTAAAAACATGATCAAATGTTGTCTACAAGAGAAATACTGACAGACTCATAGATTAACAGTGGCAGAATGGTAAATAATATGCTCTTCAATAGAAGGTAAGAGCAAGCAGATGCAGCTTTAGTCATGAATGACAAGTGCTGGATTTCAAGATAGCTTCTCAGATAAGACACCAAAGAATGCCACTATATATTAATGAAGGGAACAGTCCATAAAGAAGAGAGAACAGGGCCTGGAATGCAGCTCAGTTGGTTGTGTTTGCCTAGCATTTCTAAAGCTCTGGTTCCATTGCAGCACTACATAGAGATGGGGTTACAGAAGAAAGGAAAAAAAGAAATAATTGCAAGTATATACATATGAATGTGTTGTACTCAACTTCCTAACTCTGGACAAAAATGAACAGTAACATGAACCTACTGCCAGTCAGCAATAGATAACATCTGAGGGCACAGATATTCAAGAATGAAGCTTCAGAATACAGAACCTAGAAATAAACCCACACAGCTATGGCTGATTCTCAGCAACTTTTGGAGAAGAAAAGTCTCAACAAATGATGCTGGTGAAACTGGATGTCCCATTCTAGGTACAGAAAAATAATGACTAGGACTCCAGCAGTCCAGGAAAGCTGAGAAAGAACTGAGAAGTAGGGCTGCATAAAATTAAGTTCAGTACAGTAAAGTTAATAGAGATAATCTACTGAATGAAGAAATTTTTGCTATTTACCTGACAAAATATTAATATTCATGATAGATGAAGAGCAAAACATTAACCACCAAGAACAAAAAATTAAACACCAAAGGGGATATTCACACCAAATAATCCAATCTATTTGTGCAGATGGACAGTTTTTAAGAAGTGGAAATTGTCTGTAAACAAAGTGTTCACTCTCCTTAGCCAGAGAAATGCAAATCAGAACTAAACTGGGCGCTCAGAAATTCCTCAGTAATATACTTGCCACACAAGCACAAGGACCTGATCCACATAAAAGCCCAGGATCCACATAAAAGCTGAGAGCGGCTTTTATGAGTCTATAACCCAAGCACAAGGGTAGGGGGTAAAATGAGGAACTAGGTGAATCCTGAGAGTTTGTTGGTTATTAGTGGGCTCTTGGCTCAGTAAAAGAGTACATCTTAAAAAAAAAAATGAGAATGGTACTGGAGAAATGGCTTCTCGTTCATGGCTTAAAGCAATGTTTTGTCTGAGTTTTCTGTCCTGCCCAGTTCCTACAGTCATTAAGTCCCAAAGAATCACATAGAAGTCTACATTAGTTACAAACTGATTGGGTCTAGTGGCTTAGAATTCTTATTAACTTTTTTTAAAAAATATTTATTTATTTACTATGTATACAATATTCTGTGTGTATGCCTGCAGGCCAGAAGAGGGCACTAGACCCCATTACAGATGGTTGTGAGCCACCATGTGGTTGCTGGGAATTGAACTCAGGACCTTTGGAAGAATAGGCAATGCTCTTAACCTCTGAGCCATCTCTCCAGCCCTCTTATTAACTCTTATAACTTATATTAGCCCATTATTTTTGTCTATGTTAGCCACATGGCTCAGTACCTTATTCAGCAAGGCAGTCACATCATATTTCTTCTGTGGCTGGGTCAAGACTGAAGAGGAATGGGCTTTCTTCTTCCCAGAATTCTCCTGTTCTCATTGACCCACCTCTACTTCTTGTCTGGTTGTCCTGCCTATACTTCCTGCCTGGCTACTGGCCAGTCAGCGTTTATTTAAAATATAATTGACAGAATACAGACCATTGTCCTACACAGTGTGTACTGTTCTTCCAAAAAAAAAAAAAAAAAAAAAACCCAAGATCAGTTTCTGGCACCCACACTGTGTAGTTCCCAGCTGCCTGTAATTCCATCTCCATGGGATTCAACACCCTCTTTTGGACATGTGCATAAACCCACACTCAGATGCACATAATTAAGAATAAAAATAAGGCAGAAACACAGATACTCACCAGGCAAATATTTGCCTCAGTTCTATTTTTGTTAAGTCAAATTGCAAAGCTTGAGCCTGGCCTTGCATTAACACCCTGAGTAAACTGGTGGATAAAACAAGCTCCATCCAAACAGGATTCTTGTCCATTGACACAAGAGCAATATGGCCAACATAGAAACAATGATTAGAGACAGCTCCTCTCCTCAGACACAGGTCTGGTTCCACAACTGCTCTTACTACTTTCTGCTGTTTCCTCTGAAGGGCAGCTAGAGATCATACTGAGTCCCCTGCCATCTCAGGCAAGCCCACTGATCTTGGATTCACCTCTAAAGTCCCTAACAGGGGCATGGTACATGCCAGAGGTAAACAGGACAGGAAAAGTAACATCAAAGAGCCCTAGGGCAACATTTCCCATTTCAGTAGGCACCAAGCTGACCTCCTGTTTTATAGCTATATATCAAGAACCTTCCCTGCTTCCTGCCTGGGAAAGTTCTGCACATAAGAACTAGAAGTGAAGTATGCAGAAGAGACTAGACTCTTATTGGGTCTGCACCAACCCAGGTGAAACATGTTCCAGATTGTATAGCTGTTAGCTCACACTTCGAAGCAATTGTGCAAACAGGGCCAGTGCGATGGCTCAGTGTGTAAATGAGCTCACTGCAAAGCCTGGCGACCTGAGTTTGATCTTCAGGACACACATGGAAGGAGAAACAATTCAATGTGTTAAATTTCTAAGAAAAATCATGCAAGCAAAGTTCATGATTTAAGACTTAACCCCTGATAAAGTGTTTCAAGCTTAGAAAAGCAGAAATGACCAGAGGACGTTATAGTCCCCAGGTGAATTGCCCCACGTGGGACTATTCAGGATCACAGTTATCTCACTCCTTGCTGTCTTTAAGGATACCAGACTTGCATTAAACTTAAATCCCTTTAGGACAATGGTTCTAAACCATCCTAATGCTGTGACCCTTTAATATAGGTTCCTCATTTCTCATGACTCCAACCATAAATTTCATTGCTACTTCATAACTAATTTTGCTGTTATGAGTTGCAATAAAAATATCTGATATTTGACCCACAAAGGAATCTCAACCCCTTGACCCACAGGTTGAGAATCACTGCTATAGACTATTAAGTATTTAAATGAAACAGGCATCCTTCAAAGAATTACTATATCAAATACCCTGCCCCGTTCCCCGACCCCCTGCCACAGGGTTTCTCTTCTGTGTAGCCGTGGCTGTCTTGGAACTCGCTCTGTAGACCAGGCAGTCCTCAAAGCTCACAGAGATCTACCTACCTCCGTGTCCCAATATTGGGATTAAAAGGTGTCTACAACCACTGCCAGGCTTAAAACAACTTCTAAGTGCTATTAGCCAATATTGTTTTTGAGACACAGTCTCACATAGCGCAAGGTGACCTTGAACTTACTATTGTCCCTGATGATGATCTTCAGCCACCACTATTCTTCTGCCTCCACAGCCCTTGCACCACACCTTCTGGCTCCAAATGCTTTTTGCATTGTCTACCCAGACTTAATTCACTGAGGATGAACCTGTATTATTATCAAAGACTTAAGACCTAATTAATTGGCTGTTTAAAGGTATTTTCTAAAAAGAAAAACAAAGCAAAACAAAACAAACTCCTTATCTTTAACCTGGTTCCAGTTTCTGACACTAAAATAGTACCTGATTTAGTTAACAAGAATCAACACATCTGTAGCACGAATAACACTCAGATCACATATTAAGGTTCAACCTTGAAATCAGAAAAGCAAAGCAGCCAAGTCACTAGAAAGCTTTTACCTCTATGAAATCTTCAGACTGAAAAGAGAGCGAGTTCCTGCCTCATCCTGCTTTATATTCCTCCCTAGTGCTGGGATTAAAGACATGCAACACCAACGCCCGGCCTCTATGGCTGACTAGTGTGACTGTTTTGCATTCTGGTCTTCAGGCAAGCTGAAGATACTACAAATGAAATATCACTACACACACCTATATGCAACTTACTTTGA